CTAGATGTCAAATATACTGCAAAGTTACTATCTGACTGTTTTGCAGAGGTTTCTCTGGTTGTGAGTGGACGTCGAATCTGAAGACAAACTTACTGGCCAAACTAAGACACATTGATCATGCAACTCGATGTGACAAACCCTAATGCAGATGATCAAACTCTGTGCAGGTAACCTAATCTGAATTGCTTCTTGATTCGTACCAACCGTCGGCCGGATAAATCATTCACTCACGTCCTCGTAGTGAGCTCCTTTAATCAATTAACTTACCAATGGGTCCGGGAAGAGATAATAGAGACATTTTCGCTGCAAACTCAGAATCAAACTAAAGAAGATGCTGGCCGCTTCAATGCAGTAATAACTCAGGTATGGATAACAGTACGAGGTGAAAAGTGATCCCTCCTGAAAGTTTATACAAAGTACATCACTAACTCCGCCAGTAGTAGGTATGCTTGAACGTACTCCGTGCAGCCATAGCAGAAGCTTCTCAAAATCGAATCCATCCTCAAACTCCTACTCTCGACAAGTTCCTTGCTCGGGCGAGTGTACAAAGATACGAAGAAGACACTCGCACAAACGGAGACACTGAAGCTACCAGAATGGAAGGCGCGAAGCGAGAGAACGCATAGCGTTCTCCTGACGCTCTTCTGTCATCATTTTTGTCTTTTGGCCAGATACTTTGAAAAGTAGAGTGTATGTCGGCCATCCAATCGTTGACTCAAAGTAATCGGTCAATCTTCTGTATTGATGGCAATCGATCAACGGAGGTCATTCAATACCTGTATTCATCCTTGCAGCAACAACCTGAAGTATGTTTGCACCTGAACTGAAGTATGACAGCACAAGAGCTTCGAAGCAGTACTTCACCGCATGAAAAGCAACCCTGAACCGAAGAAAGAGACCCATCTCTAACTCACAGAATCCGCTTTCTCGTCTTCAAACCGAAGTACTCAACCTGTCTATTACTTGATGGCACCCTGTGCGAAACTTCAGATAGATGATGAAAATGCAAAAAAACAAATCATGTCCATGACCTCGACGTCAAAACTAGATGAAAGCAGAAACAGAAAATAGTTTTGCTGATACACAGCGAAAGCACGCCGGACTTCCACGACTTGATCGAGACGTGATGCAACTCAATTCTTCAAGTGAACATACGTGATTTTTCCCCGTGAAAAATCCGTCAGTTTCAATTATCTCACTGACACTAAAACCGTCACAAACATAAGTCGAGCCCAACTCACTTCAAAGAGACTCTAGGTCGACGTTTACGGGCAGACGCACAGCTCCCAACACTAACAGGCTCAACTCGAAGAACTGACGTTCTTCAAGTCGCCGTCGACGTTATAAACCTCAAAAGTGAAACCCTAGGTCAACTGCTATTTTTAGTAAATACCGAGTTACATGACAACTCTCCTGATTTGACAACCTTTGAACATTTGGAAAGATCTGATCTGATGCTACTTTACTTTTGCTTGAATCAAGAGTTTGGTCATACTACAGAGTATGTAAATAAAACTTCCATAAGTAAATGAGTCTAGATGTTTATAGTGAGTCTAGATGTTTATACTATGAAGTTCATGAATGCTCAAATGATCAAAAAAATTCTAATCTGCCTGGGTTTGAGTCACAAGATAGATGAATTGTAAAGCAAATGAGGAAGAGGAGCGGAAAGAAAAGTTTCACAGCAAGATCCTTGAAAGATGAAAAAAGTTGGAATATTTCTTCTGTTTGGCGCTGGCCAAAATTAACAAGTTGTGCAATGGTGCAAAAGAGAATGTGTGTGTGCTAATCTCGCAAATTTACACTTGTATCACTCTCTGTCATGTTTAAATGATGTTTGTTGAGGTACGTTGAGGACAATGATGTCGGTTATGGTCTTAAAGTTGCACATTGTGAATCCAAGTTGTCAAAAGTGAACGGACTTCAATGCCACTTTTGCATTGCATTTGATTAGGAGGAGAAGGTTGAATCAGAGCGCAAAGCGGCAACTGTTGTTCAAGGATAGAGTTAGTTTTCATTTACTCTTGTGTAAAGAGTAGACTTGTGTTAGATTTTTGTCTAGAACTTCCTGTAGAATAATAATGTAGATTACAAACGTTATTATTTGCTTAACATGAGTTAAGGGGGAGATTGTTGAGGTTAACTTCAGTTGAATAGTAACTTTGGATCCTAGCTAAATATATCTAGTACAGTTAGATACATAAGACAATTGAATATCCTAGCTTTTGCCTTGTACAACTAGATACTCTTTCACATACTTGGAGTAAAGCATGTTCCCATCGTGGATGTAGACTCTTCGAAGGAGTGAACCACATTATTTCCTATCTCATGTGTTGACTTGGTAACTTTCTATGTTTTGTCACTGATGATTTTTGGTTTACTCGTCTTTAATAATGACTAAAAATAAAGCTACATTTGGTTCAAAGTGACAATAAAGACATTAGAATTAAAAAACACTTCACAACATATCAATATTTTCAATTTAAAACAATGAAACAAATCCTTCAAACTAATAACATATAATTTTTGAATACATAATTTTTAAAACTCAAAAAAATAATTTTTTTTTTTTATAAAAAAGTATATTTGAATTTTGATTAGATTACATATATAAAGTATGAAAGAATTCTTAAATGAATTTTTAATATGATTTATTCAAGATTTTTTATGAAAATAATCAAAGTGTCAAAGTAATATACTTATATACATGTTGTCTAAGACAACATTTTTAAAAATTGTTCTTGCAAAAATGGATGATTTTCAATTGTGACTATGTACTTGGGTGACATAAATTTTTCAAAATTAATAGGTCATATATGATTTTATAATCTTTCTATACAAGCATGAATGAAGCAAAATTTCAGATAAAAATTATCTAAAAATATTTATACCATAAAAAATGATATAGCATGAATATTATCAAAAAAACTAAATTATGAACTGGATGAAAATTGATTTTTGAAAGATGTGTCTAGATTTTTTTAATATACATGTTTTTCATTCATTTTTATTGTACAGAATACATTTTTATTAAATTTTATTTAATTCAATAAAATTATTTGAAAAATAAAAAATATCAACTCTAATTTATATATACATATATTAAAATAATAATTCATTCATCCAGAAAATACAGAAATATGAAGGGATTTTCGATTTTATGTTGGCATAAAATCAATTATTATTTCTTTGTTTTAAGTCTCCATCATATTGTTTAATTTTGATTAGTTTTTTATGTTATGTAAATAATTTTCTTAGAGGATTTTTTTTATTTAATTCGATTTTCTGGAACTTAAATCTTAACTTAATATTTTTATAGAAAATAAGGGATAATTAATGTTAAAGTATATATGAAAATTGTATATATATATATATATATGTAATATTTATCTTCAAAAATTAGATATATGAAAATATTTTTTAAAGTTAATACAAAAAATAGAAATATGTACACAAAACACATTTTAACATTATCAATTCAATAATAGTGAGGATTTACAAATAAAGTTCTCATATAACAGTGCTTGATCATATTTAAGATATTTGTTTTTTATATAAAAAAATATGAATAAATATTCAATAATTCTTCATTGAATTGTGAGTTAAAATATTTGTAAATATAAAATTCTCAGTATCATAACTAAGGATCAGGATAAATAAAACCTCTGAATATTGAATTTATATGTGAATTTTAAATATATTTTTATATACATCAGGTTTATAAATCATTGTAACTACATATGTGTTTATTTTCTATTGCTTTGTTTTTTTTCTAATCTTATTTACTTTGCAATTAAATGATTATTAATCTTTTCCATCCATTATGTATGATGATTGATCTATTGTTGAGGGACAGGTAATTTCATTTTCATCTAAAACTACTTTTACTAAGTTTATCATCCAAGTGTGGATGATATATGAAACAACACAATATATAGAAAAAAATTATACATACATTTTATTCGAAATGAAAACTAAAAATGTACATATAGTTTTAAAAATTTCAAGTTCTGAATTTTACTGTTTGTTTATACCGTGTCAGCATCAATGCTTGTCATCATATATTGTGAAGATGTTTTTGTGACTAATAACATTGCTTTTATATTCTGCAATGAATTTTAACGAATTTTTTCTTAAATTAAATTCAAAAAAATTGATTACATGATTTGACTAATATTATACAAGACATTCATGACGAATGTATTTGTTTTTCCATAATCCAACACAAAATTTTTGTTCGACTTTGATAGAAAAGTGGTGTAAGAGTGTAATCTTATGTCAACATCTCACATAACTCATATATATAAATACAAATCAGTACATTCTGAATATTTTGAAAATTTCTTATGTCATGTGTAGTAAAGACTTGATACTTGAGTTGATTTATCTATGTCAATTATTCTATGGCTACAAGCATAACATCACTTCTTCACACCAGCACTAATGATGAAAAATATATACTTATTATATATACTTACTTTGGCATGATATTTATGGAATAGTTACTAGGAAGATGAAACTGAATGTTCTAGAAGTACTTGTTCTGGTGAAACTCATTTAACTTACTTTCATAATCCAGATATCATAGTTGATGAAGGTTATATTCAACATCAGTACTATCGGGACCGACTGCATTTAAATCTTCCTTGTTTGATCTGATGGGTCTTCACATCGTCTTTTTTAATATTTTCGGCCCCATGCCACTTACCTTCTCGCAATGTCACAATAAGCAGAATATTAGAGTATTAGAATCTGGACGGCTCACTGTTAGCGAGACATGAAATCACGCGTGCTAAAGTCGTGTGACGAGGAAATAGTGAGGAAGATGAAGCTGATTTTTGGGGACGCGATATCATATAAAATAAAAATAAAAAATCGAAGCAAACCAAGCTACAGAGAAAAGAGAGTCCAGGTGGCCGGTACACAGGCAGGCAATCTAGGGTGCAGTCTGGAGCCGGTCTTGCACCGGACTAGGGGTGCAAGACCGGCTCCAGATGAGGATGATGACCGACGCCCGACTGGGCCACGGCTTGCTGGCGGTAAAACCTCCGGTCAGGAACGGATGACGACACGCACTCGGGGCCCGCCGCCCTTTCTTTGTTTGGAAGCCCTGGAGGAGGTGGCGAAGGTGGCGAAGGTGCTGCTGCTTTCGATCCCTTGCCTTGCCTTGCCTTGCCTTGCCTTCCCTGTCCGATCGCCCGCTTCATCACTCTACGCGCCTTGCTCGACAATTCCGGGGCTGCTTCGTCGTCGTCCTCCCGGCCGACGACCCGACTCGACCCGACCCGACCCGACCTCACCTCGACTCGCACCGGGACGCGTGTGATCCAAGTGTCGTCGAATGAAATGCAGGTGCCCGACAGGCGGAGCTCTTTGTCTTAGGCACGCCAGACCGTATGCTGCTCTGCTCGTAGAATCCTGCGATCGATCGAGCGAGAGCCGATCAAACAGAGGAGCGGAAGAGAGGAGAGGAGAGGAGAGGAGAGGTGAGGGGATCGATTGGAATAGATGTGATACAATCGAAGGCGTTTGGATCGAACTGGTCTTGGGGCTTGGGGCTTGGGGCTTGGGGCTTGGAGCCGGAAGGAAGGGAGGGCGGGGCGCGATGGACAAGGAACCGGAGGAGATGCAGTATTTGGGAGTGGTGGGGGTAATCAAGGAGGCGTTCAAGTTGATGAGATCGTATGGCAGATTGCTCGCATCGCTGACGGCGACGCTGGTGTTGCCGCTGTGCTTTGTGATGCTGGCGCATCATTTGCTGTCGGACCCGCTGATGGACACTCTGAAGCGTCAACAGGACAGGGTGGTGACGATGGAAGGGACCGCGGCGGGAGATAAACTCAAGGCGACGATGGATAGGGAAACTGTTGTGCTGCTCGTGATGGGGATTTTGTACGTGCTGTTCGTCCTTGCGTTCTCTCTGCTCTCCTTCGCGGCCATTGTTTACAGCGTGGCGTGCATCTACACGGGTAAAGGGGTCTCGTATTCCAAGGTGCTGAGTGTGGTGCCCAAGGTGTGGAAGAGGCTCATGATCACCCTGTTATGGTCCTACCTCATCATGTTTGCCTACCAGCTGTCCGGCATCGCAGTGTTTGTCGTCCTCATAATTCTCTTCTCATCCCTCTCAATTCTGGTACCGGTGTTGTTTCTCACGGCCGCGGTGTTCCTCGTGATACTGGTGTACATTGTCATGATCTGGGACATGGCCAGTGTGGTCTCGGTGCTGGAAAAATCGTTCGGCTTAGGGGCTCTCAAGAAAAGTGTGCAGGTCCTGAAGGGCAAGCGACTTACAGCGAGCTGTCTTGTGGTTCTGTTCTGGGTGCCTAACTTCGTCATATCCAGCCTGTTCCAATCACAGGTCGTGCACTCATCTGGGAGCTTGTGGGGTCGAGTTTTCTATGCAGCTCTGCTCGTCTCGCTTTTCTCCGCCTTATGGATGATGAGTGTCGTTGTGAAAAGCGTTTTGTACTTTGTCTGCAAGGCTTACCATCATGAGACCGACAGATACGTTTTGTCAGAGCTCCTGGATGGCTATTTGGGAGAGTACATGCCACTGAAGGACCCCATCCCTTTGGAGACTCTCGAGGCTTGAATTTTCGATGCGCTTCGGATCAATTTACTAGCAAGTGTCCATCGCTGCTGGGGTTATGTGGAGCTTCTACTTTCTCAAAACATCATCGTGCGTTGACCGAAGGTGGGAACGGGATGGGATCAGATGAACGGCGCTGTTGTTTTTATTCCTGTTTTAGATCTTTCAGGGAAAGTTGGTCATGTACATTACAAGCTCTTGAAGAGAAACACAAAGAATTATTCTCCTTCCAACTAGCGTTGCAACTTGTTGTGAGGTGAGCACCCTTTCTTGTAAATAGTTATGTTCCGTTGATAACTCCCATTGAGATTTGGTGGATCCAGTGACAATGCTAGTAAAGCATGGTGTATATGAATAATTCTACTCTGGCCACAATTTTGGCCGACTACTCTCCAGATTTTGTATCTCATGCAGTACATGATTTCTTTGATTTTCTTCTGTCATATTTTCTTCAAAATGTATCTGAAGGACTCAGTGATATATGGCCCCGCTTTTCATGTTGACTAATAGACGTAGATGTATTTGCCCCAAGCTGCTCCATGGGAATGTAATATTTGTGTATTTTGCAAATTTTATTTTGAAAGGTCAAGAGGTGGTTGTAGCTGTAGTTGAATGCGGACATGTTTTCTGAGAGTGTACAGTGACATTTACACATTTCAGCGGCTGAAAGTAATTGATGAAGGACTAGAATTTGACCACAATTGCTTGTGGTTATGGTATCGTGCCCTTTTTCGCCCTCTTTTACGTAACGAACGGTACCGGTAATCGAGGGTAACACGGGCGAGACATAAGTTTTCCTGAGCAAGTGTACTGTAGCACAAATCGTTTTTCTGTTTAAATTGCACTTTGGTGGGCAACGATTGTCTCTTTCGGAGGTTTGTGCACTGTGCAGCCATCGCATATCACATTGAACAGAATTCATCACACCTATATCTTGAGTCAATAAAAAGTTTCAACATCGTGTTCTGCTGTAGATTGGATGATCTTCTACAGATCTTCCTGAGCTTTGGGGCAGATGCCGATGTAGTCTGGATCGGTGAAGCTGATACGATTCATTACACAAGTCAGCGCATAATGTTTGAACTATTATAAAGTAATACTTTCTGCAACCAGATGAGAAACTTGCCTGCATTTATTCCTTTTCGAAACTTTGAGTAGACGCCTAGCTTTTGTAGGTATTATGCAACTTATTCGCTTGATGGTATATATGCAGGGCAATACATACCTTTACCTGGGATTCTTGCCTGCTATGGTATTTTGTCTACCTCATGCAAAGTTTTAGGTCAATGAGTTTCGGCAATATGCCCAGTTCGATAGAATGTATGCTGTATTTCTGGTCTACAAGGCAACTGCATACCCCACCTACCTAGTTGCGAACTGGAACAACGAGTACTTGAGTACTTCAACTGTATCGAGCAACGATGGGATTTAAGAACCTGTTAATCAAGGTACCGTACTGAGAACAATGTCAGGTGTATCGTATCGAGGCATTCTCGTTGAATGTCAACAGACATCACTTGAAGTGGACATCTCAACCGGTTGACCAAGAGTGAGTGTACAAGTCTGTTGACTTCGTGACTGCGATGATAAACAATGTTAAGTCGTATTGTGTCGAATGTTGTGTCGACGAATATCGAATTCGAGCCACCACGATGGTTTCTTCCACCGCATTTTGATGTCCCTCAGGGCTGAGTGAGTACCCTTGTTCCTTCGGAAACCATGGGATATATCTTTGAACCTTGGTTCGTAGATATATGCAGTTCACATATGTGCCGAACGTCGGAGGAGATTAACGCAACAAGTGAGCTTTAGTCTTCAATTCATCTTCCGGCTTCCTCTTTAATGCCAAGATTCTACGATTCTATGAGTTTCATTTTTTCGATGGAAACCTGTGCCAGTTGCACTAGAAAGTTATGTCCACAGCCTTTCAAAAACGTGAAATGTAAATTCAAGTGACTAGACTTTGAGACTCTCCCTTGGACTGAAACGAGGAGGAAACATTGACCAAGTTATCATATCAGCGGTTGTACCCATCAATTCAGCCTCGAGTCTTCAAAACAGAGCAAAATCTCACAACTGCCTCACCTATTCGCTCCACTTATTGCTTCAGCATAAGCGCAACTCACATCACCTCTGCAACTAGCATACTTTCTGTAAACGAATGCTAGTTGCAGAGATGATGACCCAAAGACCTACGCTTAAGAGTTATAACAAAGTGAGTAGTAAGGTTGGCTGTTTAGACCAGAAGTATCGTTCGACGAGGCCGTCAACAGACGACTGAGCTGATGTTTACGCAGATGCTGGGGAGGCCATTGAATACAAGGGAGGCTATTGAGTCCACGGAATTCTTGGCAGAAGGCGAAAACTGACGTGTGGACATGCAGTGAAAGGAAAATGCAAACTTGCAGTTACGAATAGCTTTGAGAAATGAGCAATAAACAAGTTTCTCTGCACTGCACGGATCAAGGTATCCGGAGACGAAGTTACAATATCCAGAAAATAGAATAGAAAATAGAATCACGAGACATGTGACAGCCACGTTACTTCCACATTCCCGATGCAGTTACTGGATTAACACCACGCGGACATCTTCGGTACATGTACACAGCTAAGTTCCTGGTAGCAACTCAAGAACAACGAGGCTCCGTCATATTGTAGAGTAGCCCAAACAAAATTGCATCCTTTTACGTCAAAAAGCTGTGGGTGTGAATAGGGAAGACCCACATTTCCAAATCGCTGACACCGAGGTGCAAGAGTACACAACCTAAATGATTTGTTCATAATCGGCTGTTGAACAAATTGTGTAAATGAAACGTATCACAAAAATAAAGAGACAAGTTCAAGTTCGTGCAATTTTCTCACTCGCTCGACAAACATATGACCTGACATTCCGTGCCATGAGATACACATTTAAGACGGAGAAACTACAGACATAGGGCTCAACAGAACTTCGAACCCTTTATTTTGGCGTGATTTGTTTTCCACTGTGCTTTATTCATCAATATCCACATTGACCTATTTAAAAAGAAGAGTTTTTCACCTATCCATCCAAAATATTGTGACTTGCCCGAAGTCCTGACCTCAACACATGCATTCCCGCGCCCAGTCCGATACGCCTCGATTTTACCATAATGGATCGATGAGTTTCAAGGAAGCCAAGAGAAGTTGCGCTATCACAACTTCGCCCTTCATTCCACATAAATTCTCTTTAAGCTGGTACTCATGAGCTGCATAACCGAGAAAAGAGAGGAACCAACTGAGTTTATCATCTGATCACGACCATGTGTACATATGTGCACAGCTGCATTGCGATGATTGTCCTTTCCACGCAGTGCGCTTCTCCAAAATACAAAGATGGTCGGAGAGGGCTACTATACTGGCGAGTTCTCAAGCGGCCAGAGCAGAGGTCTTTTTCAACTTTTCGACTTCCAAGTAAGCCGTACTGAAGGGCAAAAATTCCCCCATGTGACTCTCCGCAATTTCCCTAATGCCCTCAGCAAGTCTGGGAATCGCTGCAATTTCGTCATAAGAAACTTCTCGGACGAATCGTGCTGGATTGCCTGCCCAAACTTCCCCCGAGGGAATTCGACGACCAGGCGGGACGACAGAACCAGCTTCCAGGATGGCGTGCGTCTCGACAAGGGAGCCCTCCATGATCACACAGCGTTGCCCGATCACCACCTCATCTTCTATGGTACAGGATCTGAGAGTGCTAAAATTCCCGATGGTCACATACTTGCCAATCTGGGTCTCAGCGGACAATCCAGTAGGTGAAGAAGCCGCGGCGTGCAGAACGCACTTATCTCCAATATTGGAGCAAAATCCAACAACAATTTTGTTCAAATCACCTCTCAAAACGCTGCCGTAAAACACGCACGCCTTGTCCTGCACCTCAACGGAACCTGCTAGAACCACATTCGGGGCAACAAAAGCGTCGACGGCCATCGAGGGCACCCTTCCACCCAGAGGCACCATCTGCCTCTGCCCTCGGTAATCCCACGAAACGTGCGTCGACATCTCGCGACATTGTTGCCGCGTCGCAATGAACCCTGAATCCGTCACGAAATCAGATCGCTGCAAAATCCTGCCACCGATCACCGCGGTCGGAGCTGCAATCGGCAACGACGACGACGCGATCCGTGCCAACCCGCGCATCAATCCTGCCCCTCGGGCCTGGCACCGCACTGCTCCCGCCATCGTCGATCCCCTTTCCGTAGCCAACCTCAATTCGATCTCTGCCCCTTCCCCACCTCCTCCCTTCTCTCTTCTTCAGCCTTCGTCGCTGCTGCTGCTCCTCCAAGCCCTACCGCGCTCTCTCCCCTTCTTCAATTCTTCGTCGAATCCTCGAGCCTCTGCGCACTCTTTACGGCCAAACGAGCTCTTGACTCAGGACTTCGGAGACGACTATACGACCGTCCGTCATGCCGTGTTGAACTCCAGCTTACGGCTGCGTTTCCGTTCCCTTTCCCCTCTCTCCTCTCCATCTTGTCTAACTCGTCTCCGCAAGTCATTTCCTCCTCCATCGCTCTTTCATGTACTGACGCAATCAAACAACGATCGCAAAGAGGGTCATATACGTGTCTACGAAAAGTTTCATTTTCGGCGTCTCGGGGAGATTTCATAATAGATCTACTTAAAGGGCTCGCGATCACAAATTCATGCCGATTTAATTCGGTTGAGGCCGGTGAATGCGCGACGAACGATTGCTAGAACGAATCGAGTTGTATCTAAACAAATATATTAATTCCAAATATTTATCAAATCTCATAGATGATGTATTGACAAAGAAATTATTCAAATTTTGAACTAAATTTTGTTCTTGACAAAATTTTGCTCAAACAAATAATGGAAATTATGATAAGAATTTTTTTATAAGTGCTTGTTATGTCCATTGACAATTCATCATAGAAAATGATAGTTATATTTCATGTATTTTTGGATTTTATTTTTTATATTTAAATTTTATGATATTTTTTTGTTTTAAAGAATTACTTTTCTTTAAAATGCAATGTAATATAATGATCTAAACATTCGAAAATTATACATTTTAAACCGATTTTAATTTAAATTAATTGCAATTTATGATATTTTATTTACCTCAAAATAAATTAATTTAAACTACATAGTGAAGTAAAATAAATGTAGAGAGACATTAGTCACCACTCACTTTTCGCTATTCACCATTCACCCCCAATTTTCAAATTGTTGAAAAGCGCGTTCAAAATACCACCTACATCACCATGGATCGTTACCAAGAACTTACAAGAGCTACCTATGCTAATCTAAAGGCTGCCCGCGCGGCTCTCAATTCACACCTTGCCGATGAAGGCTACATCGTGACTGTTTTGCACACCATGCGAGTCGGGAACAGCAAAGACGCTGACGTCAAAGCTGTGCTTTCCATCCAGCCAATCGGAACGCGAGAAAAGTGCGCGGGGGTTCTTTAAACTTGAAGGTGAGTGGTGACTAGCAGCTCCCTAAATTTACTACTCATTTACAATTGAATGATTGTTCAAACTTAGTGATTTGTATTTAAAAAAGCTTAAGTTTTAATAACTATTAAATCTCATAGATGATATATGATGCAATTATAACGTAAGATAATTTAATAATTTAATTTAATGATTTATTTAATTATAAATTATTGCACACATAATCATTACTCTTAATCAATAATGATTTATGTGAAAATTTCATCTTTGTCATAACATAAATGATTCAAGCTCTCATAATCATGTAAAGTTGCATGATAAAATCTCTATTTAATTTGGTTACTAAGATGTTTTGTCTTGCATCAAAATTGTGAAATATAGTGTAAAGATTTTATTTCCTTTTATTTCATAAGTTATCATTATATTATTTCTTATACATTAATTCTCTCTATGTATCAATATTAAGTATAATTAATTGGTAACAAAAGCATGATAAAATTTAAAATTGTATAAAAATAAAATAATTGCTAGTAAATTTTTCTTGTGTTTCTCATGTAAAGTAAGACTATTTTTCTAAAACTTTTCAAAATTGTAACTTTGATCAACTATATTAACATAACCATCTATTTTAACTAGCTCATTTCATTCAAAAATTGTGAATCTTGGTTAGAAGATGAAAGTATTCTAATCTTTGAATTAATTTTTATTAAGATTAGATTGTATGGTTTTTCAGCAGCTTATCATGATTCTAGAAGTTTGAAATAAATAGTAATGGTAATACATCTATACATTCATGTTTAAACACACACGAAAGATTGTGTGAACTTGTTCAAACAACATTTCCATTCATATTTCAAAATCAACATCTATTGACATTCCAAAATTTCACTTCCTTAAGAGTGAAAAATTGCAAATTTATTACGGCAATAATCGTTAAAGGTTTTCCATTCGTCATTGTTGTAAACAAACTATTTTACCTCAAAGAAAGAATTGGGACAAATATTTTTATCACAACATCTTATCCAAATACTTTTCCTTCCATTTCACTAATTTTTTCTAAAATAGATATTCATTACCTTCATCGCATTTAAATTTGTCATATCATGCTGCACTAGATTTTATGATTGTCATCTTGCTTTACCAACTACTAGAGCTTGCATTTGACTTGTCAGGTCTAAGCTTAGATTGTCATCACGTTCATCATATTTGACTATGTCATATCATGCTTCAATTGACTTTATATCATTATGTTTACCAATTGCTAGAATTTTACGTTGTTTGTATGAAAGATTTTTTTATTTTCTATCATATAACAAATGATGCAAATTGCTAGGAAATCAACCTTGCAACTTCAAACCTTAGCTTGTAGATCTAGTGCAATTGTCATAGACAAATTTCTCCTGAACTTCCTTTCAACTTCCACAAAGCAATTTTGTACAACTTCATGAGAAGATTGGAAGAATGTAACAGACTATAGACTCACATGTCACGTATACATTAACGTCACGTCTCTACATCATTACTTTGAGTGCCACGTCAATCTCCAAACGTGCGAGGTGCTTACGTGTGTCTACAGTCCGTCTACACATACATCTCACGCGGACGGCAAAAGATGGTTGTGACAATGACAATGAGAGTAGATGGGAGTATGACGATAGGAGCAATTGGAACATCGAATCTAAGCGAGCCGGAGCACGAAGACCGACGAAGTGAAGACGAGGAGAGAAGACGAGCTAGTAGAATTATGGAGAGGAAGGTGAAGAGGCGATGGGACAATGGTGTGCAAGTATCTCGAAAAGGTTACCTTGAGGAGGCTATCTTGAGGAGAAGTTGTGTGATGAACGGTGAGATTGAGAGGCGTACTTGGTGAATGCGACGGGGCGGCTGTTAGAATGGAGGCTAACAACCTACATGTACAAGTGCTCCTCTGTTGGCAGCACTGATGGCGGCGGCCGCTGCCATGTGCCTACCGTTTGATCTAGAATTTTGTGTGGGAGCAAAGCTACTGGTGAGTCAGATCTGAAGTAATGCGGAATATTGGAAGAATGTAAAACTCTTGAATTAAACGTGATTTGAATACAAAATTGTAATTACTTGGACATGTTTGTTAAATTTTGATCAACATGCTATCAAACGGTACTTGGAGTTCTACGTTTTTATTATACAAGACTATGATTTTGCATACTTTTGCTTAAGTAAAATATTCAAATATTGTTTTAAACTATAAAAAGTTGTTCTAGTTTGGAGCAATCAACAATTTTTTTGGTGCACTTTCCATAACACTTACTCGTTAACAAATAGATGTTTGAAATACATCAAACAAAAAGCTTTATTGTTGGTTGAAAAAACATTTTCATGGTCAAGTTTTTAAATGAAAATAATTACTTTCATTGCTTTGAAATAGTCATTGCTTTGAAATAATGCTTCAAACAGAAATAGATAACATCATTTTTTCAAGATTTTAAACTAGCAATAATTATTGATTATTTAATAAATAAGCTTCATGACAATACTTATCGCTCACAAATGACATCCACTGTCATAATATTTTCTTGTCATCATACAAATTATCAAGTTGCAAGTCATTCATTCATATTTTGAAAATTCACATAGTCATGCGTATTTTTTAGAAGACATAAAATTGTTTCAGACATTAGAATATGCATGATCGTCATTGGAAAGCTCAACGTGCAAATCATCTATTGATGCAATGGCGATGATATCATATTTGAAATATGTTGAAAGTATAGATTTCGGTATTCATTTTTGTGCACAAAAAATTCACCGATGTTTTTTAAAAAATTTCATCTGCCATGACAAAAGCAATACCTTGGATGTCAAGCATTTTCATAGCTATGATTTTATTGCATCATTTCTTGCATTTCTAAATCTCAATGCAATAACTTTTTAGAACGTTGATCGATCACAAATTCCAATGTCAAATGCACATCACATATTGCACGTTTATTGAAAATTGCAATTACAAATGATTTAAGAGAAACAAGTACCAAGTGACATAATTATAAGTACAAACTTAAACCATCCATTAATTTCTAGCTTGTAAATCTATCCAATAATAACAATATGTCACTATTGGCAATAATGACATGAAACTATTCAATAGTGACAGTGTCAAAATTTCAAAAATATTGGTTCAAAGTTTGTGCGCTTAGAATCGAATGTAAGTCGAATAGATTTTAGATTTCAAACGCGGGTTTAGAAACAAATGGACTGGATCAACATTTATAATCTATACAATCCAAATGCAAGAATGAATTCAATGAGAATTTATATAGTGAAACTATACAGTGAGAATTCACTTTGCAGATAATTTGTTCCTCAACAATGAACACATAATCAAACAGACTGTCATGTCTTTTTGTATTTACTATTTTTAGTTGTTGCCTAGGTTTAAGGTTCGAAGGGCATAGAGTCAAAGAGAGTCGAAGAACGTTTAGTTCTTTGAGTCGAGCCTGTAACGTTGGGAGTAGTCTTTAGTGGGTTGACTATGGTGCTCGTAAGCGTCGACCTAAATTCTCTATTGAATGAATTTAGCTTTAAAGTGATGTTCGTGTATTGAATCAGTGAGGTTAATGCCTTTTTATTCACTCAAAAAATTTAACGTGCGTGTTATGTACTTACAAATATATTACAAATTGTTGGGTTTGAAGATTGGAGAGGAAGAAGTTTCACTTGTGGACTGACAAGAGTTATTTTAAACTCATGTCAAAGAGTAATTTGACAATTTTGTTTGTAGTGTGCGTTCGTACAAACTTGCGGTGAGAGCAAGTGAATCCTAAAGAGCTGGTCATCAATTGATTTGACTCAGTAGAATTGTTATTCGTCTGATTGAGCTTCGATTGAAATCAAGGAGTTTCGGAATGAAATCATGGAAGAGCAGATGAGAAGGACACATGGAATAA